GGATGGGAGCCCAGACCTGGTTCACTCCTTGTAGCCCCCTTTTCTTCTGGGTCAGGCCAGCACTCACACATCCTGTCCAGCCCCAGGGCCGCTGTCCAGCCCAGCTCCTCCTGGGCCAAGCTGGGGTTGGCATAACAGGCAGCCACATCGCCTTCCCGCCGTGCCACCACCTTGTACGGGATCTGCAAGAGAGGAGGCAGGCTTAGCTGAGCTGACCCTGGGCCTTGCCCACGCATTGCTGGTCAGGGCCACTTATAGATAGTTAGCGCCGGGTGTGAGGCAGGCTGAGACGGGCGTGTGCGCTGGGCAGGCGGGTGGGAAGGGCCGGGCCTTCTGTGGCTGATGGGGCAGGGTAGAGTGGCACCCACCTTCTTCCCTGAGGCCTTCTCCATGGCTTGGACCATCTGCAGCACTGAGTAGCCAGTGCCTGTGCCCAGGTTATAGATCTGCCAGGAGAACAGGGTTTGTGGAAGTGGCTGGACTCTCCACCCCTCTGGGGCCCATTTACCTAGGGTTCCCTGGCCGTCCCTCCCTGGCTTCTCCCTACCCGGCAGCCACACTGCTCCTTCAGCTTCTTCAGGGCAGCAATGTGGCCTTTGGCCAGATCCACCACGTGGATATAATCCCGGACGCCTGCAGAGGAGGAGGCGGTTGAGGGGAGTTTGTCCCACTTGGATCTCCTTAGGGGCTCCTACTCCTGAGTCCACCTGGTCCTAGGCTCACCTGTGCCATCCTCTGTATCATAGTCATTGCCAAAGACATTCAGGGCCTCCCGTCGCCCGATTGCCACCTAGGGTCAGAGGTTAGGTCAGCTCTTTCCAGCCTGGCACCAGCTGTGGTACCCCTAGGCCACTCCTGACCCTACTCCCTACCCTTACCTGGGAGACATAAGGCATGAGGTTGTTGGGAATGCCCTGGGGGTCCTCGCCAATGCAGCCAGAGGCATGGGCACCGGTGGGGTTGAAGTACCGCAGCAGCACCGCATTCCAGGCCTGCGGGACACAAGTCAGGTGATGGGGACAGGGACACAGCAGCACGTCCCAGCTGAGTCCAGAGCCCTCCACCTTACACCTATGGCTGTCCTCTGTGGTCCCTAGAAATGGACAGTGCCGTGACCTAGTGCAAGTCACTGCTGCTTCTGAGCCTCAGCTTCTCCTCAGGATGGGGCGTCCTCGGGTCCCCATCCTCAGGCTCAAGGGAGAAGTCAGTCAATGAGCAGAGCTGGGGCTGGGGCAAGGGGCCCTCACCTTGTCTGCCCGGCACAGGTCCCGGATCATCTCCTCGATGAAGAACTTGGACTTGCCGTAGGGGTTGGTACAGCCCCCCGTGGGGTGGGCCTCGTCCAGAGGCAGGTACTGAGGGTTCCCGTACACAGTGGCTGAGCTGCTGAACACCAGGTTCTTCACCCCATGGGCCCTCATGATCTGGCCATGGAGGGAGGTGTCAGTGGCCTGTGCCTCACATATTAGGCCCCTCTTTCTGTGACATTGGAAGGGCAGGGCTGCACTTATGGGCACTCTCATTTCCAGAGGGGGAAGGCATGGAGGGCAGAGGATGGGAGGAAAAAAGACAAGTTCAAGATGACACAGATTGAGCCTGTCTGATTCCCACACAGGCCCTTACCCACAGGGGCTGGCACTTCCAGCCAGACTTCAGCCTGGCTCTGGGCTCTCTTGGGGTCTCTGTCCCTCCCCTAGACCCCTTACCTCCAGAAGCTGGATGGTCCCTGTCAAGTTAACTCTGTAATAATCCAGAGGCTTCTGCACCGACTCGCCCACAGCCTTGAGCCCCGCAAAGTGGATGACAGCCTTAAAGCTGTGCTGCAGGGGCAGAGCCAGGGTCAGAGGTGGCTTTGTAGGCCAAGCCTTTGGCAGTGCTCCCGCCCCCTGCCCACCTGCACCCACCTTTTTGAAGAGGCGCTGCAGGGCTGCCTGGTCCAAGATGTCCATCTCCTCAAACTCCACAGGGTGGCCTGTCAACTCCTGTACCCGTCGTAGGCTTTCGGGCATGGAGCCCCCTCCTGGTGGAGCACATGGAAGCCATCAAGATCAGGAGATGCGGTTCTGGAACCCAGGATTTCCCTTCTCCATCCCTCCAGAAACTCGGCCCCACCGCCCATGCTCACCACGGATGGCATTATGAAAGTTGTCGATGACCACGGGGGAGTAGCCCGCCTCCAGCAGTTCCAGCACCGTGTGGCTGCCGATGTAGCCGGCACCGCCAGTTACCAGCACCTTCTCTGCCATTGCACCTGGTCCAGGACACAAAGTCTCAGGTGGCTGAAGCTGCTTGCTCAGCCCCTGCCTCTTCAACAGGAGCTGGCCTCTGGCTAACCTTAGGGAGAGGCAGTCCTGTGTCCTAGTTACGAGGATAGCTTTGGAGTCAACTCTGGTTCAAATCTGAGTACTGTCACTTTCTGACCTTGGGCTTTTAAGATCACCTACCCCTCTTGGTGGCAGTTTTCATCTCTAGAGGACAGAGTTAATAGTTGTACACACAGCATGGGGTAGGGAGGGTCCAATGAGGTGACTTTAAACACATGCCACATGGTACAGGAGGAGGGAGACAGACCCAAGGCTACCATATTTTCTAGTTCCAATTGATCCAGAACTCTGAGGGTCCACACTTTCCTCTTCAATGTCTGGGGACAGGCCAGTCCTGGGCAGAAGAGAATATGGCAGCAGGACTGGAATCCAGGATCCCAGGCAGGTAGGTGTTCTGTCCATTCAGACTCAGGCTTCCTGTGCCTCTGCCATAGCTAAGTGTCAACTGACTCCTTTGTAACTAATACCTCCTGCTTTAGGCAGCCCCTTCCCTATCCTTTCCTCAAGGATCAGCCAGGAGGAAACAGGAAATATATCAGATGACCTTAAAGGTGGGATCCTTTACCAGGAAGATTAAGCCCAGTTTGGACGGCAGCACCTGCAGTCCTGGAGTGGGATCCACCCCACCCAGCCCCACCCCAGGGTAGAGCCAGGCTGGCTCAACCTCAGCCCTGCCAGGGTCAGCCCAGTCACTCCAGGCTTGAGCTGCAGAGCCCGCCCAACTTTAGGCAGTGCTGGGTGGGCCAGTGTAGACGTGGACTTGGCCCAGTCCCCACTGCCAGGTGTGCATCCCCGCCCTGAACAAACTTCAGGCGGAGGGGGAGGGGCCGGAGGAAGCCCCAGACACTAAGGCCTTTCATTCCAGCGACTTGGCCCGCTGCCGCCTTCCTCCAGGCTGCCTCGAACCCCTCTGGGCTCATCGAGCTCCCACCCACTTGACAGCGCCCGCTGTGTGCCAGGCTCGGTACCAGGCACTTCTGCGTTATTTTCCTGAATTCTCCCCGCATCCTGCCGAGGCAGGTGTTATGACTGGCACTTTACAGAGAAACCTACTAGTGAGAGACGGGGAGTACCGAGCCTACGGTCTCACCCTAGTGACACCCGGGCTGGAATTCGCATCTCCAGGCTCGCAGCCCGGCCCTTCTCCCCAGCAGCCCGCCCATTTCCCCTCTGGACTCTGCCCCGGCGACTAGCCGCATTCCCAATACGGGGCCCCCGAAAGTGGTCACGCAGAGGCCCTGGGGGGCAGGACGGCTGCCTGAGGCCGGTCTCGCCCCCGTCCCGCGGGATGACCTTGGTCAGCTGTCGCTTCCTCAGTTTTCCCAGTCTGTATAATGGAGGGGAGGAGGCGCTGGGCTGTGAGCGCCCAAGGGCAGCGGAGTCTCGGGCTAAACTTTTGGGCCGTGGCTCAGAAGGGGCCTAGTTAGGAGTCCGGGTCGGGAATGAATGAACCCGAGTCGCCCGGCCACCGCCGCGGGAAACGCGAGCAGAAGGGGCGGGCCCGCCCGCCCCGGGGAGAGTCTTCCCGGAACGCGGATCAAGCCACCATGAAACTCCCCTGCTCCCTGCCGACCACCCGGCCCTCCTGAGCCCGCCCGGCCCTTTAATGCCGCCCAGCAAACCTGCAGGGGCTCCCGCGCCCCGCGCCCGCGCTGGCTCCAGCGGCGCCACCTCCCGCGCCCCGCGCGGCGGTCCCTTTAAGAGCTGTCAGCCCACCCGGATCCCGCCCTGTCCACGCCCCCAAGGAAACGTGTCACTTGGGTTACGGGCACTACGGAGACTCCAGGAGGCCAAAAGGCCTGTGAAACTTTGAGCGACTGCTCGGAGCTTTTCGAGGGAGGGCGGAAGTGGGCGGCACCACTCCGTGACCCGGCGATGGAGTAGGACCCGCGGCCGCCCAGCGCCCTGGCAGCAGCGCCCGGAGCCGGGCTCCCACCGTCCCAGGTCCCCTCAGGTTTTGCATGAAACGCCCGACTCGGGGACGGCGGCGCCGCCCAGGCTGTGGTTCCGGGACGTCCGGTTGGGATTTGGAAACCAACCCCGGAGCGGGAGGAGCCCAAAGCTGCCGCGGGAGTTTCGGCGCCCCGCGGCCCAGCGGCTGTCCGCCCCCGCCCCCCGGGTGGGGCTTAGAGAGGTTGCTGGAGTTTAAAACCAAAGGCCAGACTTGGGAACGGGGTGCGGAGACGGGGCGGGCGGGGCTCCGTGTAGGACCCTAGCGCCACTGTAAATAAGTAATGGTCCACTGGCGATTAAAACAATTATATATATATGACGTGACAGAACGAGGACACCCGAACAAAGAAGCAATAAATGCACAAGTGCACAGCTGTCCCCACCCCACGAAGTCCCTGGGTCTGCCCGCAGAGCCCGAGGCCAGTGCTCCTAGACTGCCTCGGGCCTGAGAGCCTGGCCAGGCCCCAGTGGCCTCCTGCCCTCAGGGGAGCTCGCCCAGCAGCCCGGGGCACAAAGACACACCCTCAGAAAACAGCCCCTGCGGTGCCAGGAAATGTGCCCAAAGTCCTGAGTTTTTCAGGCCACAGGGGGCTCAGGTCGGGTAATGAAGGGAATCCTGAGATAATAAACAAGTTTAAAGTTTCATCCCGGCCCCCTGCAGAGTGCAGCATTGGGAAGAGATGAATTCCTCCACTCATAAACACACAGAGCAGCACAAACGAATACTGGAAAATTAAACCTTTAATTACATAACCTCTTTTCAAAAATCACATTCAGAGTGGAGATTTTCCGGGGATGATGGAGTCAGCAGATGGCCACCACAGAAGCTCGGCCCTCATTTCTGTGCAAAAGTCCTCTGCCAGCCTTGAGAAAACTCCCCACCCCTTGCTTTAAGGCAGAAAGCAGTGGCCTGGCGGCCAGGCTGGATGGAGCATGTGGTTAGACAGCTGGCAACTGCACCCAGAATGAGACCAACTGCGCCCAGAATGAGACTTACAGATCATCCCAAGTAGGTTCCCAGGTGACCTCAGGCACTTGACTCCTGGGCCACTAGATCCACAGTGAAGGGAGCTGTTCATTCCCAAGGCCACTCACTCCTACTTAGGTCTGGCAGGGAGGGCTGAGGCCAAGCAAGTCCCCTGGCCCTCATTTCCCTTCTGCCAGGGACCTACGTGCAGAGCTGGCTGGGAGGCCCTGCTCCTTTAATTTCATTCTCTTGTTCATTTCCCGCTCAGGAATCATCCATGCCTGCTCCTACTCCCATACAGGTCCCGGGGCCCCAGATGGCCCAGGGGATCAGAGTTTACAGCTAGCCTGTGCCACTTTGGAACTGGTTTTTCTGTTCAGGACTTGACAGATAAAGTCTCCAGCTTCCAGGAGCTTCTGAAGGTTCACACCCTTCGAGAAACAAATCAGAGGATACAGTAAGTCATGGCCCTCAGGACCCAGGGGAATAGCAGACTAGAGACTGTGATGCTGCAAGGGAGAGGTGACGGCAAACAGACTCCTTCCTGATGTGGGCTGCCATCTGGGGTCATCCCTGGGACTGTCCCTCACAATGGCTTGTGGTGCCACCATCAGGAGAGGGACCTCATCTCCAGGGCCTGGCACAGGGCCTGCCTAGTGTATTGAAGTAAGGGCTGTGAGGCGGAGGGGCAGGAACGAATGCCAGCCGACAGGACTCTTTTTTTTTTAACTTAAAATCCTCTTGCCTCAGTCCTGGAGTGGCTGGATCACAGGTGTGTGCCATGACACCTGGCCCACAGTTGCTCTCATTTGCTGATGTGTACCGTGAGCTCAGCTCATGCTCAGCATTCTACTTGGTTTCCCCCACACACACCAGTGCTGGGGGGCGGGGGGAACGCAGGCCTCACACAGGCTAAGCCGGCTGCACTCCCAGCTGAACATTTTCTTTTTTTCTGGTACTGGGGATTAAACCTAGTGATGCTTAACCACTGAGCCACATCCCCAGCCCTTTTTATATTTTATTTAGAGATAGGGTCTTGCTAAGTTGCTCAGCATCTCAATATGTTCAGGAGGCTGGCTTTGAATTTGCAATCCTCCTGCCTCAGCCTCCCGAGCTACAGGATTACAGGTGTGGGCGCTCCACACATTTTCTTAATCCTCACAACAGCCCATTTCTCAGGTTTAGAGAGATGAAAGAATTACATCAGCCTGTGAGGGGCAGGGCTGGTTTTAAAAATTCATCAGATTTCAAAGCGGAGGTTATATGGCACCCAGACCAACACCAAGGGCCCTTACAGCCTTGGCAGAGTCCTGGGGGGCTTATTCTACTGCCCTCCTTTTACAGAGAACTAAACAGAGCTGACTCTGTTCAGGCCAGGATCCTCGCCCCTTCAGGGCTCTCTCCCTGTTCCTTAGGGACTCAGAATGGAACATTGGAGGACATTCTGAGCCCCTAGCCTTCTTGTGGCCCTGCTGGTGGCCTCACCACACTCTGCTACCTCAGAAACAGAACAAAGGTACCCCTAATCCCTGGCCCCTTTGCCTTCTTAACCCCACAAACCCCACTGGCTTCTGTCCTGGGGTTCAGGCAGTGCCCGGTCAGTTCAGAGGGTCTGCCACTAGGGGGCAGGGAGGCTTACCGTGTGAATGCCCAAGCCAGTTAGCATGTAGACCAGGTCCTCAGTGGCCAAGTTCCCTGATGCCCCCTGTGCATAGGGACAGCCTCCAAGTCCTGCCACGGAAGAGTCCACGACACTCACACCCATCTGGAAATAAGGATGGGGAAACATGACCGCCTCTGGGCACCAGAGCCCACCAAGCTGCCCTGGCAAGCCTCTCAGTGCTTGTTGCCTGAAATTCTGTCATTCTTTCCTTTGGCTTCTGATTGTGTTAGTGACAATCCCACTGAAAGGCTTCATTCAGTTCCTGGGACAATGTGAGTCTGTCTTCCCTGAGTTTCCTCTCCAGGAGTCTTTCTCCTACCTTTCACAGTGGATCCTTCTTACCCTGTGGGTCTCAGTCTAAGAGCCACCTCCTCAGAGAGGCCCTCCCAACCTCCCCTTCCGGCTGTTTACCGATTGCTTCAACCACACCTGCCCCAGTGCCCCAGGTCAGCTGCTTCCCCCTCTGCTGGGTAACGGCTCCTTTTCTTCTCCTTTCTCACACCTCCCCCACCTGTCCCCCACCCTCACTCTCAGCCGCTTCCTAGTCACTTGGGAAACCTGCAATCAGAAGAGACACTGAGCTCCAGGCCAAGCCCATCCCTCCACCACTCCAGCCAGCCCAAGCGGGCCCAAGTAGCCCTTCCCTCAGGCTCTGCAACCTGCCCCTCCCTCTGCAGACCTCCTCCCAACCCAACCTATTTCTTTTGCTCCCTTCAAAGCAAAGTGCCTCAAGCTGGGGTCCTGGTAGAGGGCCTGCTTGATTGTGTTGAGTGAAAATCCCACTGAAAGGCTTCATTCGGTAGGAGTAAGGAAGAGGGTTCATCCTCAGCACGCATATAAATAATCCACCGACTAAAAAAGGAAGTAAAGTGCCTCAAAAGAGCTGTCCCCTGCTTATTGTCTCTGGCCATTCCCCTCTGAAATGGGTTTTGCCGTCCTTGCCCCCAGCTCTTCCGTGGAAACAGGTCCAGTCAAGGTCACTGGAGTCCTTCATGTAGCTAAAGTCACAGGTCAAGTCTCAGTCCCTGGTTTCCTCCAGCACCTCTGGCCTCTCCCGAGGGCTCAGTCCTGTTTTTGCTGGCTCTTCCTCATCTCTGGCCTCTAAAGGATAGAGCCCTCACGGCATGGCCCTCAGATAGCTTCGCTTCTGTGCTGAAGTCTCCAAATGTCTACACCGAGGCCCGAGGCTTGCCCAGCGTGGCCTCTCCACTGGGAGCCTGGGGAGGCCTCACCACTGCCTACCACCTGCTCCTTCCAGGGTTGCTGCCAGAAGTTTCCACCTCCCTGACTGCAGGCTCCCAACTGGCATCTCCTGCTTCTACCACCCTCTGTACAGTCAGTTCACGTCCCTCGCACCCCTTAGCTTCTCAGGTCAGTCAGAAAGGGCCCGACAAGGCCCACTCACCTGGCTTCCTCTCCCCGCTCCCCACTGTCACACTGCTCCCCTGTGCCTCCATGTTCCTGGACAGAAAGTGTACCCCCCTGGAGGTCTTTAACCTACGTTCCTGAACGGGGACACCCCCAACACCGGTATTTATATGGCTAGGCTCACTCCCTGATGTCCCTCAGATCTCCCTCAATGCTGCCTTGGTGAAGGAGGCCTCTCTGTAAACACCTGGTGCTCCCTTGACCTGCTGTATCTTTCTCCATGGCATTTATGGACACCTGGCTGACTATATATTTGTCTACTTATTATCTGTCTCATTCACAGCTGAATCCTCAATGCTGAGAAGAGGGTCTGGCCTCACACCATATTTAGTGTTAGTAGCTGAGGAAGCTGTACTGTCTGTTTGCCTGTCTAACCTTTCACCTCCTTCCCCCTAGACAGGAGCTCTGAAAAGGCAGAAACCGGGAATCCACTCCTATTGTCCAGTCAGCACTTCACAGAGCGCCCGGAGCGCAGAAAGCATGAACACTGAAGTAGCGGATGGAGGAAGGTGGAGGAAGTTACCATAGGTCATCATGCTCAGCTGATTTCCCAGAGAAATCTGCAAAAGGTGACTCTGAGGACATCAGATACCAAGAAACAGAAGGCCAGAAAAGCAGGAGTATCCTGAGCATGGTCAGGATGACGTTTTGCCGCAGACCTTCCACACTGGTACAGAAATCCCTTTTCCTGGCCTGGCAGGACGTTGAGAAGAAGCCATTCTTCCTCACCTGCCCGGCCAGGCAACTCACGGGCTTCAGAAGAGCCCAATGGCCCAAGACAGGAGGTCTCACCAAGCTGGGAAGTGGAGGGGACCCCAGAGCCAAAGCCTCAACTTTGACAACCAGGATTCTGGGGAAACAGGCCCAGAAAGTAAGAGAATCATCTGGCTTGGAGACATGAAGCTCCAGGAGGTAACAAGAGAGCCAGAAAGGTGAGGATTGGGGACCACCTTCTCCAGCCCAACCACGCAGGCAGACCAGTGCCGACTGCGAGGCAGCCGGTGTCAGACAGAGATTGTTCCTTCTAGGGGCTACCTGTGGAGAGTCCTACCCAGCCAGCCCACCAAAAGCAATCTTCAAGGGAAGCTAAGCCCGAGGCCAGTACAACTTCTGGGGAACTCCCCACTCCTCTGAAAAGCCTCTGCCTGTCCCTTTAGCTGCTCCCCCAGCTCAATACCACGGGCTGCCACACGGCCAGGACACGCGAGACCTCCTGAACCCTACTTTAGTCTTTCAGGGCAGCTCTCCCTGGTGGCTGTCCCTCTTCTCTTTAATAAATTGCTTAATTCCTCATGTCCTTTAAGCCTTCTCAGGCCTCGCCAAATCCGACTTCCTCAGCTGGGCCAGGGGCCCTCTTGGCTTCCTCGCCCTGCGCTCCCTTCCTGGTGTCTGTCATAATGCAGCAGGGTTGTGTCGTAACTCCCTCGACTGTCTCCTCAGTACGCACATGTGGGCACTTTCAGGGCAGGGGCACTGTCTTTGCCCACCACTGCCAGCGCTGGACCTGGCACTCTGGCATCAGTGGTTGTTTGCTGAAAGAATAAATGAAACCAAACAGTCCTCCCCATGCCCTCTGGGAGAATGGGTACCTGCCTTTGATTACCTGCAGGGCCATCAAGGTGTTGGCCAGGGCCTGGCCATAGGTGTCATGGCAGTGGACAGCCAGGGCAGCCACAGGTACCTCGTGCATGACAGCTGACAGCATGTCTTTCATGATCCCTGGGGTGCCCACGCCGATTGTGTCCCCCAGGGAGATCTCATAGCAGCCCATTGAGTACAACTTCTTGGCAACCTGGGGAAGCAAGCAGACATATGGAGGACCCCAAGTCCCACTAGCCAGGGGTCCCAGGGATCCTTTGTGCAGACAGGTCACCTCCATGGCTAGGCACTAATTTCCTACTGGGTCCTAAGCTCCTGACAACTTCCAGTGGGCATGGCGAGCCATGGGCTGCTGACCAGGAGGCTGAGGCTCCAGAGCTGAGGCTGTAGGAGCAGGGCCTCCCCCCTGCGATTTCCTCCCACTTGAGTTCTTCTCACCATGTCAGACCTAGATGCTGGACTCAGGAAAACTGATTCGTGTAGTTTTATCCTCAGTAGTAAGATCTGTGGGATCCTGGGTCTGAGATACTAGTTATAGATCTTCCAGGAAATAAACAACTATTTAACTTTTGAGAAGCCCATATGAGAACCCCTAAAGAGGCTGCAAAGCTGGATGGCACCTCTCTTGAGGACAGGGTGAGGAAGGGTGTGGTGGGGCAAGAGACAGGTGATGCTCACCAGTGATTGCTAGGTAAAGACACCCTCCCCCTCCCCCTGCACCTGGTGCACACAGGGAGACAGGAGCTGTGGCTGGAGGGCCGGGGGTGCAGCAGGCCTCTGCAGTCACATGATGCCTGATGAACTCCTCATTCCCTGCTCACTAGTTGTGTGCCCTGGCCAGGGCTTTACTCTTCTCAGCTTCATAGGTGGTGGCTCTCTGTGGGGCTACAGTGACGGCCAGAGGCAGTGGGAGGCTAAAGCAGGGGCCCCAGCGGCCACTGTCAATGAGAAGCGGCTACTGTTACCTCCTCCTATCTGGATGTCACATGGTATGGGACAAGAATAAGGAGCTTGTAGGAAGACAAAATGTCTGAGACCTGATTTCACCACCTGGGTGGCAAGTCCTTTAGTCGGTTCCCTCAACTGAAAAAAGGAAAAATAACAAACTGCAGAGGAATTTTGTGGCTGAAATGACATAAGCTCTTGGGCTGCTCAAATTCCATTCCCACCCCAGTCCTCCTCTTGGTTACTATTCAGAGGACGTCAGGGTGTGGCCTCTCGCCTACTACAAGGAAACTAGGGACTCCTGTGAGCCCCCCCCCCAAGCTGTCACCTCAACAACCACCTGTCCACTGACTGGACGGAACTGAAGGCTTCAGGCTGGGCAGGGGCGCCGCTAGAGGGGCTCCAGGGAGCAGGGACAGGCCGCGCCTGCAGTGGGTAAGTGTGGCAGCCGGGTGAATGAATGAAGGAAGGGACCTAGCAGCAAAGGGTGGCAAGGGGCACCCATGTGCTCAGGAACAGGTGAGGTGGGCAACCCTAATACCACCCCCCACCCCCCGCCACACACACCTCAGCTACTTTAGCTGGGGGGATCTTCCCTTCATAGGGGCATCCAAGCACACAGGAGACGTACCTGTGGAAGACAGGGGAAGAAGGACATCAGTGCCCCTGAGCTCTTCAGCCAGCAGGGCAGAGGTGGATGGCTGTGTGACACTCATCCCTGGCCTATAATCAAAACCTGCCTGGGTGGAAGGCTGATCCAGAGGCGGAGTGGAGGGAAGGAGCGTGGCCTAGTGCCAGGAGGGGGCAGTAGAGAGCCGCTGTGGGGGAGGGCTGGGAAGCCCAGGTCTGGGAAGCAGGGCTGGCAAGGGCTTCTGCAGGGGCAGAAGTGGCTGAGGATCTATTGGGGGGGGGGAGCAGAGGGCACTGAGCAGCCCCTTGGTGTTTGGAGGGGCGGAAAAGCAGAACCATGTGCCAAAGTTGCTCGGCCAGTACTCAGGAGACCAGGACCGGATGAACTAAAGGCCAGAGCAGGAGCTGGACGTGAGTCAGACCAGCCTGGGCTGGCCTCAGGGGCAAGGGATTAGCTGCTCCAGTGTGTCACCACCTTCCTTCATTCATTTATTCTACTGAGGTGACTACCATGTGTCAGGCACATGAGCGAGACCCCCGAGGTCCTCATACCCCTGGAGCTTGTTTCAGGACGGCGAGAGCCAACAGAACGGCAATCCAATAAGTGGCAGAGAGCCTCATGAAGCACCGCGCTAAGACGGAAACAGGAAGTGCAACAGGAGCCACTAGAGAAGGCCAATAGTGGCAAGGGTGGCCCAGGAGGACCTCCTCAAGGCTGTGACGTTGGAGCTGAGAGAAGGGGAGGGTCTGTGGGAAGAACATTCCAGAGACAGGAGCCAGCAGGATGAAAACAGAACAGCGGAGGCACAGAGAGCAGAGGCACAGGCGGTGGAGACGAGGTCGGAGACGGGCACGGGCGTCTTGGGTCCTGCAGGCTGTCTGAGGAGCTCAGTTTTGGGTGTTGACACTTTCTATTCCCACCCACCCTGTTGGGGCCGAGATGCCTTTGAGACCTTTAGAATGGAGACCTTTAGAACAGCCCCCTGAGTTGCTAGTTTATTATACCTCATATTAGGAGGTATAATAAACGGTTGCTGGATTGATAATTTCAGGCTCCAAGATCTTTCACTTTTCCATTTTAATTCTCCCACTTCTTCTCCAAATACTGCTGAGCAAGGAAATGTTAAAAGAGCCACTAAGAAGAGCACAAGCCGGGGAGTCAGGCAATGTGACTGAGGCCCTGCGTCCTTGCCATCCATCCACCTGTCGGTTACTGAGTGCCATCTGTGTGCCAGGCCTGTGCTGTGAGGGCAGGGCAGGGCAGGTCAGGGACTGAGGGAGACGTGGCTTGCCCTAGAAGAGAGCACAGTCCATGGGACCGGGGCAGCACAGGATTCACAAGCAGTTTAATGCTAGGCTGCAGGACATTCAGGGTACTGTGGGACCTGCAGCATGGCCACTGATTCCCAGTGAGGGTCAGGAAAAGCTTCTCAGAGATGACTGGAATAGGAGTCAGGCCACGAAAAGTAGGGGAAAGAGTGTTCTGAGTCTATGCAAAGGCCCAGAGGTGAGAGAGTGGACAGTGGCAGATGGGAAGAAGTCCCAGGTGGAATGGAGATGGTGCACAGAAGACTCGGGCCAGAAAGAAGTGGTGAACAATAAGGCTGCAGAGTGGCAGGGCCGAACCACAATGAAGTCTGAACTCAGCCAGGCGCAAAGGCTCATGTCTGATATCCCAGCTACTGGGGTTGGGGGTTGGCTGAGGCAGGAGGATAGCAAGTTCAAGGCCAGCCTGGACAATTTGACAAGACCATGTCTCAAATAAATTAAAAAGGACTGGGATGTAGTTCAGTGGTAGAACACTTGCCTAGCACTGGGGGAAAAAAAAAAAAGTCTGAACTCAACCAGTCACTCAAAGTATTATTTATTTATTAATTCAGGTACCAGGGATTGAACCCAGGGGTGATTAACCACATCCCCATCACTTTCCCCCACCCCCAGCTTTTTTTTTTTTTTGAGATAGGGTCTCACTAAGTTGCTTAGGGCTTTGCTAAATTGCTAAGGCTGGCTTTGAACTTGTGATCCTCCTGCCTCAGTCCCCTGAGTTGCTAGGATTACAGCTGTGCACCACTGGCAAATGGCATGGAAAGTTTTTTATCAGAAGCCATGTGATCAGATAATGTACCTCTGAATGGTACACAATGGGTGTTGATATTTTCTATTCCCACCCTCCCTGTTGGGGCCAAGATGCCTTTGAGACCTTTAGAATGGAGCAAAGTGTTCTACATATTAGGAGGTATAATAAACGGTTGCTGGATTGATAATTTCAGGCTCAATGTGGGCTGCTGTGTGACCTCACAGTAGACTGCCCATCCTTCCTGAGCCTTGTTCCTGTCATCTGTAAGGTGGGCATGGCTGCTTCCCGCTGGGCTATTGCTAAGTTTCAATTAGACATTACACCTGCAATGGATGGCTTCCAACAATTAGAGGTGCCACCTGGGAAACTTAGAGGCCTTGAGGATTCTTCATGGATGGGCAAAGAGCTGGCGGAGAAGCCAGGACCATGCTGTCCTCTGCAAACCCCATTTAATGCCCTGGCCTGCTGGATACATCTACTGAACTGACCTAAATTTAGGTTTGAGAGAAATACTTGCCAGGATTCTCTGACCATTCACTTGGGAAAAGATGCCTCAGTGTGGTGCTTGAGCTGCCCCCACCCAGGACCAGGAGCTTGTGGTTGGGAGAATGGCTGGAGGCAGAGCCTAGCTTCACTCCAGATGGCAGGGAGAAAAGACAGCAATGTGGCCCGACTCACCCCCGCACTGGAATATTGGTGGCCTGAGCTGCCTTCAAGATCACGTCCATGCGCTGGAAGCTCTCGTCTATGGAGCAGTTGATGTTCTTCCTGGTGAAGAGCTCTGAGGCGGCCCCAAAGACGCTCACTTCCTTGGCGCCTGCAGCCACCTGCCAAAATCCAGGTGAATTTCTTCAGCATTTTCCTCTTCAAGAAACACTGATAGAGTGGTAAATTTTATGGTATGTGAATGTTATAGGTTGAATTGTGTCCCCTCAAAAAGATATGTTGGGGGCTAGGGATATAGCTCGGTTGATAGAGTGCTTGCCACACTGGTTCGATCCCCAGCACCACAAAAAAAGATATGTTGGGCTGGATACAGTGGCGCACGCCTGTAATTCCAGTGGCTCAGGAGACTGAGGCAGGAGGATCATGAGTTCAAAGCCAGCCTCAGCAACTTAATGAGGCGCTAAACAACTCATGAGACCCTGTCTCTAAATAAAATTCAAAATAGGGCTGGGGATGTGGTTGAGTGCCCCTGAGTTCAATCCCCAGTACACCCTCTCTCTCAAAAAAAAAAAAAAAAACCAAACCAAACCAAAAACTCCCCGTACCTCAGAATGTGATCTTGTTTGGAAAACAGAGTCATTGCAAATGGAATTAGATGAGGGCATCCTACAGCTTGGTGCACCCCTAATCCAATAGGACTGATATTTTTTTTTCCTTTTCTTGGTACTGGGGACTGAACCCAGGGATGCTATATCCTTGTCCCTTTTTATTTATTTATTTATTTTTGAGACAGGGCCTCACTAAGTTGCTGAGACTGGCCTCCTGCCTCAGTCTCCCAAGTCCCTGGGGTCACAGGTGTGTGCCACTGCAACCGCTGACTGGTACTTAAAAGAACATGGCTATGTGACGACGCAGAGCGAAGACCACATGAAGCTGGAGGCAGGCCCTGCAGTGATGGATGTCCAAGCCCTGCAATGCCCAGGACCGCTGGCACACCAGGGACCAAGAGAAAAGCCTGGAACAGGTTCTCTCTGAGAAGCCCTCAGAAGAAGCCAATCCTGCTGACACCTTGATTTTGGACTTCTGGCTTCCAGAATTTGAGAGAATAAATAAATTTCTGTTGTTTTAAGTTTCTCATTTTCCAGTAGTTTCTTAGAGGAGTCCTAGACAATGTAGACAGTGAAATGTATCTCAATTTAAAAAAAAGGCTGGGGGCTGGGGTTGTGGCTCAGTGGTAGAGAGCAGGTCTTGCAAGTGTAAGGCACTGGGTTCGGTCCTCGGCACCACATAAAAATAAATAAAGGTATTGTGACCATTTATAACTAAAAAAATATTTTTAAAAAAAGGCTGGGAGTATAGCTCAGTGGTAGAGCACCTACTACCAAGTAAGACCCTGGGTTCAGTCCTAGCACTGCAGGGGAGGGGACACCAAGAAACAACTTTGACGTCCCCCAAGGAAGTCACCAGTGACTGCTGTCGTCACCACCCTGAAAGTCACTCTTTTTTTTTTTTTTTGGTACTACAGATTGAACCTAGGGGTGCTTTACCACTGAGCTACATCCCCACTCCTTTCTGTTTTTCATTTTGAGACAGGGTTTCACTAAGTTGTTTAGGGTCTCACTAAATTGTTTAAGACTTTATTAAATTGCTGAGGCTGGCCTCAAACTTGCAAAGCTCCTGCCTCAGCCTCCTGAGCCACTGGGATTACAGGTATGCATCGTCACATCCGGCTCCTGAAAGTTTTTAATTTTTTTTTAGTTGTACATGGGCACAATACCTTTATTTTATTTATTTATTTTTATGTGGTGCGAGGATCAAACCCCATTCCTCACACATATGAGTCAAGCGCTGTACCACTAAGCTACAACACCAGCCCTGAAAATCACTCTTGAAAGAAGGTTTTTGTCTAAATGCAGGACACGGGCTGGGGTTGTGTCTCAGCGGTAGAGTGCTCGCCTAGCACATGCGAGGCCCTGGGTTTGTTCCTCAGCACCACATGAAAAATAAAGGTACTGTGTCCATCTACAACTAAAAAATAAATATTAAAAAAAAATAAATGTGGGACACCTCCAATGATGCTGCTGTGTAAAGTGACAAGATGCTGGCAGATGTAGCAACTACTGTGGAAACTCTCTGGAGAGCTTGGTTACCTTTCCCTAAAAGGGATAATAATAAGAACTAACATTGACTAAGCACCTGTCTTATGTCAGGCTCTGGCTGTGCAATGTATGAGCACCCTGTCTCCCAAAACCGGCACAACTTTAGGTGCTATCATTAGTCCAAGTTTACAGGCAGAGTGAGGCTCAGAGAGGCTAAGCAACTTGCTGAGGTCACAACATGGTGAGTGGCAGGGCCGGGACTGCTACAGGGGCTGAAGGTAATTGTCACCACTGGAGATATGCTGTCCAGATGGACATCCCAGGAAAGGGGACTGAGGCAAATAGGACAGGGAGTAAGGGGGCTGGGGTTGTAGCTCAGCAGAAGAGTGTTCACCTAGCACGTGCGAGACCCTGGGTTCGATTCTCAGACCACATAAAAATAAATGAATAATGCTAACAAATGCTGTGGCTGTGGCTCAGCGGCAGCGCACTTGCCTGGCATGTGTGAGGCACTAGGTTCGGTTCTCAGCACAGCATATAAATAAAATAAAGGTTTAAAAAATAAATTAAATAAATAAATAAAATAAAGATATTGTATCCAACTACAACTGAAAAATAAATATTAAAAAAAAAAGACAGGGAGTAAGGCCATCAATCTCACTCCAGGAGCCCCCCAACCAAGCCATCCTCTTACCGCTGCCTCAAAGCCTTTCAAATTCGGGGTTAGGACTGGGTAGTTGATGCCAGGAAACTTCTGAATGCCCTTCAAGACTTCAGTGTGGTCAGCCATCTAGGGACAAAGAAGACATGAAGTCATCACCAAGCAGACAGAGAGCTCAAAGGTCAGAGAGAACCTTTTACCACTTAATCTCCGTTTTCTAGAACTTGTGGAGCGGGAATGACAATCTTCTGCAGAGCTGTCTCCCCAATGCTTTTATGATCTATGTGACTGCTGAGAGGACAGGAGGTGCCTGGGTTTGTGTGATATCCCCATTTCTTCCAATGGCCAACACTGCCTGCTTTGCACAAACAGGACCCGCAGTGACAGTGCCACATGCCACTGTTGGCACTCACTTTGCAACAGGGTCTTTCTCCCCTGCATGCCTGTCTCTGTGTATCTAGAGTCCCCAATCTTCCCTTTTTACAAACACAGGAATCACAGGAAGGCATGAAGGTTCTAGACTTTCAAGAGTTAGAAGAGACCTGAGAGACCATCTCTAAACTGGACAAGGAAAAGCCCTAGAGAGGTGACCAGCAGGTCAGGGCAGAGCCAAGACTGAATCTGAGCCCAGGCTATCAGGCCTGACCTTCTGTCGCCCCACAGTGCTAGCAATCTCCTGAGACCTCTCAAAGCCAGGGATGCGAAACCTATGCTTCCACCTGCCACTCACTTCAAGAGCAAATGCGAAACCTCCCACCTCTTGCCTGGAAAAGCCTCTCCCTGAGGGCTGGGCTCACCTGGGGAACCCACTTGGGAGACACAAAACTGGTGACTTCTACGACAGGGAGTCCTGCTTCCGAGAGCATGTCTATCAGCTTGATTTTCACTGGAGTAGGAACGATATTCTAGAACAGAGAGAGACGGCAGAGGACAGTGAGCAAAGCTGCTAAGGAACTGGCCTCAGCAAGCGATGCCCACTGCTCTGAAGCTTTTGCTCGAGCAAACACTTCAACATCTCCACTTCCAAACACTAACACAGATGCACGTGCATCCTCCTCAAGAGGCAGTACGAGGCCCGTCTCCAAGTTCCACGGAGTGTCTTGCGGTGCAGACAGCTTCTCACTAAAAAGGAGTTAGTATTCACAAGGAAACAGAACCCTCCTGCCATACAGATTTTTCCTGAATTGAATGTGTGTTCGGTTATGACCCGTCATAAACAAATTGAGAGCAAGGTGCCACACCCTAACAGGGCAGGTGACTAACCCTCTGGGTCCTATGGGATGGGGCCCCCAAGTATCACAGCCTCCCCTTTCCAGCTCCCGGCTGGCATGGGATTCATCCTCCAGTGCTCAGCCTGTCGCCTCTTCCTCTCTCCCTGTACATCTAGTCCTCACGTGTTTACTACGTTGACATCTAGGATATTCAGGTTTAGAACACTTTAATTTTCATAGAAAGTTCTATGGAACAGTATGGGTATACAATATTTCCTAGATAAATGCTCCCACACATATATAAACTTGTATCTTACATAAAAATATAAAACACACACACAAACACATTTACACCTTTGAGTCACTTAATATGCTCCTATATTAACAACTTCAAAATACTCCATTTTTGAATAGTTCATAATATATGTGACCCAACCTTCCTGCCATATGGAATACTCAAAGCAGACACTTGAAAAACCTTTTCTGGGTTATTTCCACCTTTACCTTTTCATTTTGCAGTCCATCTCGGGGACCAACTTCCACAATTTTCACCTGCTTTGGGAAAGTGCCCATAGATGAGGTGCTGACCTTGGTTTAAAAGGGGAAAAGAAAGGAAGACATTGTCACATTTCACTATGGCTCCTCCTTCACTAATACTGAGATGAGAATCTGTATTTTTTACTGTTTAATTCACATTTGGTCTGTTTTAGAATTAAGAACAAAAAGAAATTTTTTTTTTTTGTACCAGGGCCTGAACCCAGGGGTGTTTAACCACTGAACCACATCCCCAGCCCCTTTTATATTTTATTTAGAAACAGGGTCTCACTGAGTTGCTCAGGGCCTCACTTTTGCTGAGGCTGGCTCTGAACTTGAGATCCTCTTGCCTCAGCCTCCTGAGCTGCTGGGATTATTAGCATTCACCACTGTGCCCAGCCCTGTCAACAATCTTATTAGGTAAGGACTGTATAATCTTCATTTTGCTGTGAGAAATCTGAGGCCCAAAGTGATTAAACTTTCCCCAGGTCACAAGGTCAGCTGGTCACAGAGCAGTATATGAACCTGGCAGTATGGTTCTAGAGCGCATGCTCTGAACTCCGAAGCCACAGTGGCCTCTACTATAGTCTGGTTAAACATCCAGTCCCTTCTTTCTAGAAAGTTCTGCTGAGACGATTCCCTCCAACCACATGAACTGTGCCACAGTAACCTGAGGTATGGTGTATCTACATCAATATCAACAGAAAACACTAGAGCCCAGGGCCAAGCTACAGGCAGTAGTATCTCAAGACTGGGACCATCACTTTTCTCACTCCAGTGAGGAAGTAACAGCCTCAGAAACATTACCAAAATTGCACGAATAAAAAGTGACAGAGGGGCTGGGGTTGTGGCTCAGAGGTGGAGCGCTTGCCTAGAATGCATGGGGCACTGGGTTCGATCCTCAGCACCACACAAAAATAAAATAAAAGTATTGTGTACACCTATAACTAAAAAATAAATATTTTTTTAAAAAGTGACAGAGCTTGAACTTGAACTAGGTCTGGATCTGATACTAAATCCATGCTAGTCATTGGATTAACGTGTCATTTCACCAGGTTTTTGTTCTTGCTTCAAAGCTCATTGTTCCCCACCATCTCATTTGCTTTTCTTAACCTCCCAAGTTGGAATGCCCATTTCCATATTACTCATGAGCAACTGGTGGAGGTAGGTGGCTAGTTAAAGACATCTCTCCGCCATTGTTGATAGAACTCCTTCTAAACTAAGGTAAAAAGACTCCCACTGAAGGCTTACTAAGTGCCAGAATAATGTCCAACGCTTTGTCTACATTTTCTCTAAACTCCAGAACAATCCTAAGGTAATGACTTTCGTGTTATAGATGGGAAAAGTGAGTTTGGAATGAGTAAATACCTGTATCACTCAGCCTAGCAAGTGGCAGAGGCGTGGGCACCTCCACAGAGCGCGGGAGAGAGCGCAAAACACGGATCGAACAGGCCCAAAGTACAACGCAAGGGAAACACAGCTGGCCCTGGGCCACCCAAGTTCCCCCTAACTGTCCCTAAAGCAACAAGAGCTGGAAAAGGAGGCGAGTGGGCGAGGTGACCTGGCAGGGTGTTTTGCACTAGAGGACATGGAGCGGTCTGCAGCCCAACTAAAATAAGAAAGGAGCCAGGGACACCGGCGAGGGCCGAGGGCCAGGCACAGGACGCCCAGGACGGCCTCGCGGGCCTCCACGACCGAGCCAGCCGCTGTTCCGCTCCGGGCCTCGGTTTCCCCACACCCCTGGGCAGATCTGAGTGACAGGCAAGGTCCGAGGCTCCACGGCCCTCCGCATCCCAGCCGGAAGGGCTGTCCCGCTTCGCCGCTCAGGGAGCAGCCGTCACGGACCGAGCCGCGACCCGACCGGGCCCGGGGCACTTACAGCCCGGAGGGACGCCAAGCGCACCAGTAGCCGCGGCAGCGCCTTCCTCATTGTCGCCATCGCGCCTCAGCTTCCCCCTCCGCCTCCCAGCTGGGCACCACGTGACCGCCGCCGCCAGGTGGGCGTGGCCCCCTTGGGCGGAGCCTCGGGAATGACGTGCGGCGCTCCGCGATGGCTCCACCCACAGGCTCCTGGTTTTTATTCCTGCCAGGCCAAGAGAGGCTGTAGGGACTAGAGATGCACAGACGTTAACCCAGCCTCCGGCTTCGTTAGCGTCGGGAGGTGTGGGGAGATGATAACAATCCCAGAGGTGGCTGTGTGAATCCTAACTCCCAAGGTAAGGAGCAGCAGTGTCATTGTGTGCCACTCACTGTTACGAGTTCTTTGCGTGTGTTAACTTCATTAAGTCAGGACTCAAATGCAGGCGTCATCTCCAAAAAGAGAAACATCCTTCCATGGATACTGCAAGTAAGATCCATCCAGTTGAAGAGGACACAATTAAAGCTTTCTAGACAGAAGGAATCACCTATGCAATGGCCCTGAGGCAAAGCAATCAAATGCTTAGAGCGATGTTTTCAATCTGCGTGTTGTGCCCCATTAATTAGTTATAATATCAATTTACTGGATACCAATTTTTATATATAGTGCAGAGCCAGGAGCAGTGATTCACTCACCCAGCAATTTGGGAGGCCGAGGCAGGAAAATCGTAAGTTCCAGGCCGTGGAGCATGGGGGGAGAAGAAACAGTATAGAAAATATCAGAGTACATTGAAAAAAACAGTAAATCTAAGTACCACTTTGCAAAGCTTATTATATATGCCCACCAGTTTTCATTGTAAAATAAATTTCTTACCATGGGCTGCGAACAAATGTTTGAAAACTACATTTAACTTTTTAAAAATATTTTTTAGTTGTCAATGGACCTTTATTTTAGTTATTCATATGTGATGCTGAGAACGGAACCCAGTGCCTCATGCATGCTAGGCATGCGCTCTACCACTAGGCTACAACCTCAGCCCTGAAAACTGCATTTTAGAAAGATGAAAAGAAGCCAGATGCAGTGACACACACCTGTAATTCCAGTCACTTAGGAGGCTGAAGCAGGGGGATAGCAAGTTCAGACTAGCTTCAGTAATTCAGTGAGACCCTGTGTTAAAATAAAAAATAAAAAGGGCTGGGGATGTAACTCAGTGGGATAGTGTCCTTGGGTTTGAAAGGAAAGTAACCATGATACTTCGAGCAACCAAGAGATCTTTATTGCTGCAGTATCTGGTCGACAGGAGAAAGAGGAGAAAAGAGAGGGGGAGGGGGGGGAGAAAGAGAAAAGAAAGGGGGGAGAGCAAAGAGAGAGAGGGGAGAGGAGAGAATGAGAGAGAGAGCAAAAGTGAGAGAAGCAAGAGAGGAAGGGGGTGGGGAGAGCAAAGTGCAAGAGAGAGAGAGGGTGGGAGAGAATGAGAAAGAGAGAGTGAGAGAGGAAAGAGAGAAAAAAGAGAGAGAGTGAAAGTAAGAGAAGAGAGAGAGAGAGAGCAAGAGAGGGGGGCCCAGCAGGAGAGAGATTTTATAACCAAAATCTAATGGGGTCTCTGGGTCTGTAAGCTACCTTGTTGGCACACAGTGATTGGATCATACAGTAGTTGCTAAGGGTGTCATCTTCTGCCTTCAGGTAGATGGGGCAGGGGCTAGATGTGGGTTTTCGTTGCACCAGACAGTTGGGGACCAGTGTTCAGCCTTGAGTGGGGTGGAGTGTTCAGACTTGAGGCAAACGAGCAATAAGGAGCCAGATAGGTTAGGGTGAGGGTGGAGTGTTCAGCCCACCCTGCAGTTAACATTTGTTCAGCCTGCTCAGCAACTAACAGGTTCAATCCCCACTAGTGGGAAAAAAGAAAAGGTCAGAATAACTGAAGAGTATAGAAGGAATAAAAAAGGGTCTTTCTGCTAAGATTGGAGAGCTTGGCAGGAATCATATCTCAGGTCTTTGGAGGATGCCTTAATGACAGCTATCCTGACAAGAACACTTTTGAGGTTTAAAGCAGGGAGAAGGAATTAAATTTGCATCATGTAAATAGTCACTGTGGCTACTGGGTGGATATTGAATGGTGTGCTGATGTGTCCGCCATCGTTAGTATTTTGGGCAGTGGAGGTGGTCAGAGAAAGGACTGCTTCTGCCTTCAAGGGGCCCAGATTTCATCCAGGGAGAGAACAAGATGTGACAACTACCTTTAGCAGCACTGGGCATTTCCTTCCATCATCACACTTAGATCACAACTTACAGAATTGCAAAACCCACAGCTAGAAAACTGAACTGGGCCCAGAGACACCAGTGTGGTGTTTAAAACAGTATGACTTTAAGACTTCTACACTGAAAACTACACACCACTGCTGAAAGAAATTAAAGAAATATAAATAAATGAAAGGACATCCCATGTTCATGAACTGGAAGACAATACTGTTAAAATGTCAACTACTCAAAACATACTGTAGATTCAATGCTATCCTTATCAAAATCCCAATTATTTTTGGGCAGAAATAGAAAAAATCCATTTTTAAATTTATATGGAATTGCTTTTTTCTTTCCTTTTCTTTGTGGTGCTGGGTATTGGGCTCAGGGCCCTTGCATGGTAGACAAGCATTCTACCACTGAGCTATGCCCCCAGCCCAGGGCAATCTTTTTACCAATTGATGCACAGAAAATTGGTCATCCACATGCAAAAGATTGAAGTTGGACCTGTACTTGCCACCTTATACCAAAATTAACTCAAAATGTGTCAGAGATATTAATATAGAGCATACCACTACAAAAGTCTTAGAAGAAAACAGGGGGAGGAGTTCTTGACTTTGGATCTGGCTGTAATTTCTTGGGTATTACACCAGAGGCAAAGGCAACAAGAGAAAAATAGATAAATTGGACTTCATCAAAATTAAAAACTTTTGTGCATCAAAGGACACTATTAGAGCTAGGTAAGGTGGCACATGCCTCAGCTACAGGAGGCTGAGGCAGGAGAATCACAAGTTTGAGGCTACCTGGGCAACTTGGTGAGGCCCTGTCTCAAAATAAAATTAAGGGTATGGAGCTGTGGCTCAGTGGCAGAGTATGTGCCTAGCATGTGTGAGGCAGTGGGTTCAATCCTCAGCCCCACATATAATGGGGCTATATAGCTCAGTGGTAAAGTGCTTGCCTTGCATGCATGAGGCACTGAGTTTGATCCTCAGCACCACATAAAAATAAATAAAGATAATGTGTGTTCATCTGCAACTAAATATATGTAAAATTAAATTAAAAAGATCTAGGGACTTAGCTCAGTGGTAGAGTGCTTGCTTAGCATGTATGAGGCCTTAGACTTAATCCCTAGTGCTGAAAAAATAATTATGCTATGCCAGATAACAAAAGGAGAAATCATGATTCCATTCTTATGAATGTGATGGTTAATCTTTGGGGATAACTTGACCAGGCCACAGGGATCCCAATTATTTAGCTAAGCATTATTTCTAAGAGATATTTACGGTTGAGATTAGCATTCAAATCAGTAGACTGAGTAAAGCAGATTGTTTTCCCCAATGTGAGTGGGTGAGTTAATCAGCTTTATGTCTCTGTGGCCAAAATACCTGACAAGAACAACTTAGAGGAGGAAAGGTTTATTTTGGCTCATGGTTTCCGAGGTTTAGTACATGGTCAGTTGAGTCCATGGACTCAGGCCCAGAGTGAGGCCCACCATCATGGTGAAGCCAGATTTAAAGTTAGGTAGTCAGTGTAGTTAGGTAAATCGGGTCTAATATCGAGTGAAATCTAAAATGGAGGCCATGCTGACAATGATTCAGGGAAACAGGACAACTCATGGAATGTTAATGAAGTCCCAGAAAGGCCCTAGGCCAAAGTCCACCCCAAAGAAATGTTAATAGAACCCAGGAAACAGCCCCCAACAGATTTGGAGATAGCCCATCCCAAGAAGTGATAATGAAGTCCTTCCAGCCCAGATTACTTGTTTGGCCCACCTGTGTCCCAACCCTTCCCCCTTACATTCCATCACCAAAACTATAAAAAGGGGAGACAACGCACTTCCACGGATTCCACCTCTTGGGTTCCCTTCTTCCTCCGGGAGAAGTCTTTTCTGCTGTCCTTTAATAAACTTCTAATTTCTACTCTGACCTTGCCTAGGCGTGTGCTTTTCTGGTGTTATTCTTCAACATTGGGGAAGCAAGGACTCGTCACCGGCCAACAGCGGTAACAATGGCAGAAGGGCATGGTAGAGGAGTGCTGCTCCATTCATGGCAGCCAGGAAAGGGAAGGGAACGGGCTTCTGGGAACATAAACCCTTCCAGGGCATACCCCCAGTGAACCACTTCCTCTACCATGCTCTACCTGGCTACAGTTACCACCCAGGCCATCCAACTAGGACAGACCAATTAGGTAACAGCTGTCACAATCCAATCACTTCACCTCTGAGTATTCCTGAAATAACCCAGGATCTTTTGAGGATGCCTCATATACAAACTATAACATTTCCGCTCCTGGCCCCCAGAAGCTCACATTCATCTCACAATGTAAAATACCTTTAGTTCACCTCCAAGAGTTCCATAGTCTTAATAGTTTCAGCATTGCCCAAAAGTTCAAGTCCAAAGTCTCCTCTGAGACTCCAGGCAAAACTTGTGAGCCCCTGTAAAAATCAAAAGCAAGTTACCTATATCCAGTATACGATGGCACAGAGTAAATATTCCTGTTACAAAAGGGAGGAATAGGGACATAGAAAGAAGGGATAGACCAAGACCAAGCCAGGCAAACAAGTCGCAGAACTGTCTATTGTATCTAGGTCATATGGCTGTG